TGAGAGTTCATTCCAAGCTCTTACTGTTCATTACTGCACTTCCAGCTGCTATGCCTGATGTGTGTGTGTGTGTTTTGACCCAGAAAATAGAAGCAGAAGTGCTTTCCTGAACTCTGGTGCACATCTACTTGAATTACCTACCCTCTAATAACAGAGTTGGAAAGTATATTCCTTTAGGTCTGAGTGTCTGACCTGAATTCTTGCTCTTTACTAAACTAAGATGATTTGGAAATATCTTTCAGCAACAGAATGCTTTTATGCAATAGAAAGCTTTGAAGTTGGTGAAGAAATGACATTCTTATTGCCTATTCATTTTATTTTATTTATTGTTGTTACTGTACCCTAGAGAGTAGCCTGCGTGCTCTGGAATCAGCTGAACAAAGAGACACGAGAACATCATATTGCCTGTGTGGAACTATTCTATAGGTTGCATTGCCTGGCACCATCAGCAAATATCTGTGAAGATATTATATGCCATGCACTTTTGGATCATGATAAAGTAGGTTTTGTATTCACTGAAACCTGTTTGTCACTGTAGAGTTCTTCCAGTGCTTCCCAAACTGCATCCAGTTCCCTCCCACCCCATTGTCTTTGCTTCCATGGTCCCTCTGTCTCTCCACAGACCCTCTGTCCACTCCACTGCAATTCCTTGGGACTACTGTTTAATCCCTGAATACAAGCTGTATCAGTCAGTGCTGGAACATCCTTAGTTTTGGCCCAAATAATTTAGCATCTCAAAACTTGCAGTGTTTGTCGTTATTTCTAAAATGACCTAGCCCCACAATTGACTCTTAGTCCAACATTCTATTACTTTGTAAGTGCATGCCAGCATAATATTGACCCCGTGTCTACCTTAGTATTTAGTTCTCTTATTAAGTAAGCTGCATTTAAACAAAGCCAGTTCTTAATTACTTTACCTACCTGGTTTAATGGCAAAACAGTTCTGTAATGATTTAGTGTTTGTTTATGAGAAATGTCTTGCACAACAAAGTTTACAACAGCCTTTTTCATTCTCCAGCATTGTTTTTGTATCTTTCTACTTGCAATTTGGAAACTTAAAAGTTTGGAAATATGTTAAAGCTTTTCAAACAAAATCACCAATAGTAAACAGTATCTGATACAGCAATGTCTTTTCCATTTGTCATCCAACTTTCAGACCTCCCTAACATCAAACCAGGAGTAAATCTTTATAATACACTTAAGTCCTGAACTATATTTTTGGTGTATTGGTGCATCTTTGTGGCTGTCAAGGTTTGGTTGTGCATTCATGGATATTTGGCATTTTGGTTTAGTCTACTACATAAAAGTACTCTCAAAATACCTGAGAAGGATTAGTAGTCATCTGTGTAACAATTATTGTTCTGCTAGAGGTTTAAAAAATCACTAAAACTTTATTCAGAGATAAATACTGCAAAAAATAATGTTCGTGTCTTGTTTCCTTGCAAAGGGAACAAGGCTGGAAGCACTGTTCCGATTCTCTGTCATGTGGCATCTGACGAGAGAGATCCAAGGCAGCAGAGTGTCTTCTCACAATCGGTCCTTTGATAGGTATTTTCCATTTCCACTTGCTTATATTTATGTTTATATTATGCTTTATTCTGCTATTTTTTTCTGGGATAGGAGAGAGTTCTGTAGGGCCATGTGAGCAAATGAAAACCCTTCAGACTCCTTGCACTCCTGCTTGCACTCGTTGCATGGTGCGCTGAAGAGCAACTTTATGTTCTGGTGTAAAGGAAGCTGTTGTAAAAATAGTAGGAGCTTCTTCTATGAAAGATAACTGGCTGACAAATTTCTGCATAGCAGGCACTTTTTCACTTAGAGTGAATTATGTTTTTTGTTTTCTCAAAGAAAATGGAACCAGTGTGCACATGCACACACAGATGAAAAAAAAATCCTTTTGTTTAGAATGACTCAATATTTAGGCGACAACAACCTTTGTAGAAAATGGAGAGAAAAATATTAAGAGTTTTCCTAAATATATGTGTCAAAAAACTTTTCATAGTATGTTGTTCTTCTACAGTGTGAATGCATGTTTGGCCTTGCTTCAACAAATGCATGTGTAGTTGACCTCAACTCAAGAAAATATGCATGATCAAACTGTTGTTCGCAGAGATGAGCTATTGGCTGATGCTTACATGAACATGTGCTAAGTCTTCCACACAACTACTTTGTTGTTTGCATTAACTTTTCCAGATATTTTGGTTGTACTTATTAGTTCTGATTTCTCTATTTAGGTCTCTGTTTGTGGTACTGGACAGTCTCAATTGTTCAGATGGTGCAATTGGTGCTGCAGCACAGGGCTGGCTGATCCGTGCTCTTTCACTTAATGATGTTGCACGAATTCTTGAACCAGTCCTGCTGCTGTTGCTTCATCCAAAGACACAACGCACGTCCATCCACTACATCAAACAGAAAAATTCAACAGGTAAAACTGTTCTTGGACTGAAACTTTAAGTACTGACATAGCATAACATACTTCTGAACGCCTGCAGAAGGTGGTCTCTGGACTGTGATGGCATCCTGTTGCACTGGGTTATCTTGCCTCACTTCCGTAGATTCTTCCTCATCCATGTACCCCTGGTGATGCCTAAAGCAGAATTCAGGAGTAAGTCATGCTAATTTGAGGACTAATGACAATTTCTGTTACAGTAGTTGCACCTGCACTATTGGTTTGGATTGCTTCTTGCTTTGCTCTGGGATCTTGTCCCACACTTCTCATCACCATTCCTAAATGATCCACACTGCATGTGTGTTCACTGTTTACAGGATCCCTTCACGAGCAAAACTAGGTTTGCAACCAAATGAAATCCAGGAGCAGTTTAGTGACTATGTCAGTCCAGGAGCTGTTCCAGTAAGTGGGATGGACAGGCAAATCTTATTCTCTCTGCCAAGCCTTGTCCCAGCAGACCGTGCACCCTCAGTATCAGATTTCTTTCTTCAATCAGTATATGTTTTTTTGTTTGTTTGTTTGGAGTTTTTGTTTGTTTTTTTTAGTTTAACTTGGCAATCATTTTAAGATCTATAATGAGAAACATTATGAACTGCACATGACTGTGTGGCAAATGTGGAACAAACAGTACATGTGACAGAGACCTCTAGGGAGTAGCTGTGGAGGACTTGAATATATCTAGGTATGAACTCAGGATTTGCTCCAGGTGCAGAATCCTGTGAAGGCTGGCAGCCTATTTAGGTTTGGGATTTCTGGAAACAATGTGGCTATGAGATGCCCTGCATCATTTGGCCCAAGTAACCAAGGTTTTTTCCCTGGAATAGATCAGGAATGCTGCATAGAAGTGTCCAGTATTTTTTTTTTTGAAAATAAACTTCTGTGTCACCTGTCTTCCTCATTCTGTTAGCCTAGCTATCTGTTTGTATAATTATTTTTGTCCTGATTAGTAATTAGATGGCAGACACAGAATCCAAAGAAACTTGTTTAGAAGATGCTGTAGAAACACCGAGCTAATATATTCTTTCCTTGTTTCACAGCATGTAATCAAGGAAAACTTCAGCTCTTTATTCTCATTTCCTTCTTAATCTCAACAAATATTTTATGCTCAGAAAGCATAAAAAATATTTCCACATCTCAAGCATGATAGCATAAGAAAAACAACACATGCTTAGTGCTGTGATCCTCTTGTCTTGTGCTTAGAGTAGCTTAGTATTGCTCTACCAATTTAAAAAAAAAAAAAAAAAAATTGCTTCAAATAGCAAAATCTTTTTTTTTTTTTAGCTCTGTTCATTACAGTTAATAGCAGAGGAGAGTAGCTTTTTAAAATCTTTTAATTTTTCTTACAATTTACTCAGTATAGAGAATGTTGTGTGCAATGACCCATTATATTTTATTTATTTATTTATTTTCCAGAAGATATACATGATTGGATTTCCAAGAAAAAGGTCTCCTGGAAAGAATCTTGTGTCTCTGAAAGCAATTCTGAGGAAAACCTCCCATTGAGTCAGTTTACTGCTGTGGATAGAGAAGCAATTTGGGCAGAAGTGGAAAAAGATCCAGAGAAGCTGGAGTTAAAAACTGAGCAGTCTGAGAATGATGCCTCTTGTAATCCTGTAACTTCGCATGAGGCAGATGGTGACCAAGATAATAGCGAACACACAGAATCAGCAGACACCAGCACAGGGCATGACAGTGAAAATACATCTTCTTTCTCTCCTTCTCTGGAGCTGCAAGAAATGAGCAATGAGGACAGTGCAGCTGATGGCAAAGAGAACACGAACCAAGCGTTCCTTCCTGAAAGCTCCAAATCCAGTGTAGCACTAAACCTTGTGCGTGCTGACTCTGAAAGGACTCAAGCGTCAGAATCTCTGTCAAGTGATGAAGAGGTGGACTTGGAGCTCCAGGAAATTACAAACTCTAGGTTGCTCAAACAGCAGAAGGAAAAACAGGAGATGGCTGAGGCTCTGTTCAAACATATGCTGTTATATTTGCAACCCTATGATTCCAAGAGGGTACTGTATGCTTTTTCTGTTCTGGAGGCAGTGCTTAAAACAAACCCTAAAGAATTTGTTGAAGCTGTAGCTAGTACTAGCATGGATACCAGCTCCACTGCACATTTGAATCTTATTTACAATCTCTTAGCTCGTCACCAGGAAGCTCTTGTAGGGCAGAGTTTTTATGGCAAGCTTCAGACTCAGTCCCCAACCATGTGTCCCCATTCTCTCCTAATAGAACTGCTCACTTATCTCTGCCTCAGTTTTCTGCGTTCGTATTATCCATGCTACTTGAAGGTTACACACAGAGATGTGCTTGGCAACAGAGATGTCCAGGTAAAAAGTGTGGAAGTCTTGATTAGAATGATGACCCAACTGGCTACCATGGCAAAAGCAGCAGAGAATAAGAATGTAGAATTCATACGGAATTTGCTAGGAAGATGCAAAATTCAGGAGTTTGTTCTTCTTTCCTTGTCTGCATCTATGTACACAAGTCAGAAACGGTATGAACTGCTGATGGTAGGTGGAGTTAATAACGTTCCAGAAGAAGATCTTTTTGAAGAGAGCCTAATCAATTTTGGACATGATCAAATATGGAGCGAACACCCGCTCCAGATTGAGTTGCTGAAGCTCTTGCAAGTATTGATTGTCTTGGAGCACCATCTTGGACAGACTCCAGAGGAGCAGGAGAATCAGCCAGATCTTTCCAGGGAATGGCAGCAGGCTCTTAATTTCCAGCAGGCTATTGGTGCAATGCAGTATGTCTATCCACACCCAATAACTTCACAGGGATTATTTGTCTCTGCTGTTGTTAGAGGTTTACAACCAGAGTATGGTTATGGGATGCATCCTACCTGGGTAAGCTTAGTCACGTGTTCCCTGCCTTATTTTGGGAAGTCTTTAGGTTGGACTGTGGCACCATTTGTTGTACAGATTTGTAAAAACCTGGATGAGCTTGTCAAACAGTACGAAAGTGAAGCTGTGAAGATATCTGTAAAAACATCTGCAAGGTAAGAGTCTGCAGTGTGGGCTTTGTTATGCTGAAACTTTTTTTTTTTTTTTAAGTCCCCTTCACTACAGACTAGTGCATGGTTACTTACTTAGCATTGTAACTCACAGAGTTTGATCTTTTGATCCTTAAACCCTGCTGCATATACAGACATCTGACCCTCAAGTCTAGATGAGGTGGATGCAGTTCTGTTAACGTAGGGCTTACAGCAATTGGATGAAGAGAGGAAAGAGGACCAGCAGCGAGAATGACCAGCATCTGTGATACTGCTTACTATCCAAGTACAAAGCAAGGTCTCCATTCTGACAAGATTCAGGATTTTAGAGAATTAATTGGAGAGAGAGAGACCCTGCAGAAGTAGGATACTGTGATACTGTTCAGAATAGACAGTAATTAAAAGGAACAGGGAAAAAGAACTGAACCCTAAAGATTTACGTTGAGGTGGGGAATAATATTCTAAAAGATTTAGACAGGTAAATGGGGTTGTCCAAGCATAGTTTGTGAGTCCTCTGTTCTGATAATTACTGTCTGTCTGGTCATTCCGATAGTCTTTTGCGATGTTCCTTTACTTAATGGTAATAGATCTCTGTTGGAATTTTTCATCATGGAGTACCACTTGGACTGTTGAGCTTTTTTTTTGCTTTTTTCTTTTTTTTTTTTTCCTCCAAAAGCTTAACCTCTAAAAGAGAGAATGTTACACCTGATTACCCACTAACCCTTTTGGAAGGTCTGACAACTATTGGTCACTTTTGCCTTCTGGATCACCCTAATCAAACTAAAAAGGTAACTGCTTAATGCCTGCCATTTCCTACCACTTGCTTGACACCTTCATATTAGTTTGTCAGAGTATGCATCCCTTTTTCATTCTGAGGTGAATTTAAGTAGTAAAGGCAAGCTTGTGAAAGACAAGTAACCTTAGGGAAGCCTGATAATACATCAAAAGAAGTGAACTATGTAAATGTGTAAGGAAGGAGGGAGTTGATTTTCTTTTATTTGAAGAGGAAAGTTGATTGTGATGATCTTAGTCATGTATATACTAGTCCTATGTAGCTTGTCTATAGTTGCTCTGTCATTAACCAAGTCTTCTATTTTCCTTCCAGTTGATAAATACTGGAAATACTGCTTTCCAGTATGTCCCCTAAATTTTTGTTCCTGCAACATAAGGCAGAAAAGGATATAATTCTAACAGTTTCTTAGATGAATGTGCACAAAAACATTCAGCAGCCAATTAAATACTGTTAACAACAGCAGTATAATTCAGAAATAGAAGCTTATTTGTGAAGTTGTCATTATAAAAGACTCCTAATTACAGCATGGAAGAAGTCACTGTAGTGCACAGTATAATGTATTTTAATCTTCATATTTTTGCTTTCCTAGTCATCCTGTCTAGCTGAACCTGCAAACTTGAGAAATGCTAGGAATGCCATTTTGGAAGAGTTGCCTCGTATTATTAATACCATGTCCCTTCTTTGGAATGTTATAAAGAGGGAAGACTCTCAGAAACGACCAACCGACTTCTTTGGAACTACAAAAGGCTCTTCCTCAGTCTACTTTAAAGCAACCAAAGTAGGAGTTCTTTTTGAACTACTGTATATCTCATCATTCTTATCATTTCATCTCTCACCAGTGTTTTTTAGATAGAGTTCATAGAAATAGCTTTGCCATTTCCAGAATGATACTGGGACATAGAGAGTTTCTGAAGAAATCTTAAAAGCTATGAACTTTCACAGTACTTTCTTACAAAAGTATGTCTTTCTCTGTTCCTTCTGCTCATCTGGATTCATTCTTGACCTGTTTAATGTTTGTTTTGTTTTATTTTTTTTCTGTGAGCTTCTACTGCTAACTGCCGTAGAGCCTGAATTGTCTGCACTTTCCACAGGCAGTAGAGCATGTATCTGAGGAAATAAAAATGCTAGGCTTTTTCCTTTTTCTATAGTTATTGATAAACTGTAGTAGTAAAAAAAAATCAGTAGGAGAAAAAAAGTATACAGCACCATAAGAAGTCAGTTTTTCTATTTCTATTTAGAAAACATCTGTTTTCTAAAATATCTGCCTCCCTTCTGCAGGAAGGACACAACTAACTTATTAAAACTAGCCTGATTGCCAAATACATAAGGAGAGTATTTTGTTATCATGTTTTTTTTTTTTAACATCTTTGGAAATGGACAAATATTTTACAGACTGAGAATTAGCCTTTACCTTGCAAAGTCTAGCATACTTGGTGGTTTTTTTTCTCCCTCTACAGACATTAAGAACTAAAATACTGGACTTCCTGAATCCATTGACAGCGCAACTTGGAATCCAGTTGATGACAGCAGTTGCAGCAGTATGGAATAGCAAGAAACCTCACAGGAATCAAAGTAAAATAAAGGTAAAACTGAATAAAGGAACCCTTAGGTTTCCAATGTAAAGGCAAATGCTACATTTACATGATTAGTTCTGGTCTTGTTTATAGATTGATTTGGGTATTTTTTTTAAATTTTTTTGTTTTCTTGGTTTTTTTTCTGTTGTTTACATACGACAAAGATAAATCTAAAGTATTTTTGTCTATATGCAATTCCACAAAGCATCAGGGCTACAGTTAAACCTAATTAAGTAATCAGATTAGAAGGACCACATGGCAAGTTAAGTCTGACGGTAGTAGCCATTTTTTAAAATTCAATACTGGATTGTAATCTTAGTGATTACATATTGCCAGTTTTACTTTATCTGCTCTATCTTCAGAGAAAGTTTAGAGATAGAGTTCTCTGGAACTATGCATATATTCTGAACAGAAGACTGACCTTTTCTGATTTAATTTGGACATGCTGTCATAGAGTCATCTAGGTTGAAAAAGACCTTTGAGATCATCAGGTCTAACCATCAACCTGACTTAGTCCTATCACTGGTCCTGCTGACCACACTTATTTCTGATGCAAGCTAGGACACCATTGGCCTTCTTGGTCAACCTGAGCGCACTGCTGGCTCCTGTTCAGCTGAGCATCGACCAGCACCTCCAGGTCCTTTTCTGCCAGGCAGCTTTCCAGCCACTCTTCCCCAGGGCTATACCACTGCATCTGGTTCATAAGACAGAACTGCAGAACCCTGCACATAATTGTTTTCAGGAAGGTTTTGAAACAAATCTGAATGTGGCAAATGGTTGCATGGTTGACGTAATTTATCTGATTTAAGTTTTGTGTATTTATACATGAGTAGTCCCACTGAAAACTGCTCATCAACTTCAAGGTTTGCTTGGTATAATGATCTGACAGATGTGTTTTTTGTTTGGTCAGATACTTCCAGTGGCTAGTGCATCCCAGCTCATTCTAGTGGACTTAATATGTGCACTTAACACAATGAAAACTGATACTATCTTACATCTAGTCAAAGAAGTGGTCAAGAAGCCATCACAAATCAAGGGTGAAGAGGTAACCAGGAAGATAATTTCATTTTCTTAATGTATTGGGATAGATCTAGAATAGCATGCATCTTTAGATATTATTAGAAGAAAAGTTACTTTTTTTTTTTTTTAAGTGCAAAGTATCCTGAGCAAGTTATGCTTTCCAGAATTTGCTTTTCTTTAAACTATCAGTTTAAGTAGATTCTTTAGAAAATTTTGCAAGAAAAGTTATCGTGGGTCCTCTGATATTGAAGATGATTCCAAGTATCATAAAGATGCCACAGATATACTGCTTAGTGACATATTTCTATTTCTTTACCCTTATCTGAGCAGTTAGAAGTACTTTTATACTGTTCCTGCTGTTTTCCTCTTAGCAATGCTGGCTTCCTTGAAAGCTATCATGTATACCATCGTAGGAGTTCTTACAGCTCTGAAAAACTCTAGGGGATATTCAGAAGTAATGTCACTGATTCTGAACTAGAGTCCTCTGTTGCAGCTCTGAAATCCCTTGCACTCCTGTATAGACAATTGTATCATAGTTGCTCAGTTGTTCGAGTACAAGCTGCTTCTTAGAAGTGATGTGTTTTCCACTGAATACAGGTACCCAGCAGCTAGAACTTTCTGTTTTTCTGAGGGCAAATAATGAATTTTTTTCTTTTATTTTTCAGAAATCCTCTCTTGTAAATATCCCGATGTTGCAGTTCAGTTATGCTTTCATTCAAAGGTAATTCAGTCATTGTGAAAGATTATTTTCTGTTTGAATATTACTCAGAGTAACAGGATAACAGTTAACATTACTGTTTTTGCTCTCAACTTTGATCTTCTTGTTGCAAAGTCACAGAACACCTTTAGGTAGGGAATTGTTATTGGCACTTCACTGTTAAGTAGGCACAAAATAATGGGGCTTAGATTGTTTTCCAGTGATATGTTGCTAATGTCACTTGAAAATCTCATTGCATATGAACAGAGCAATATAGATCAGATATTTCATTAGCAAGACATTTTCATAAGGTGTTACAATCTGTCTCCTTATCAGTATGTGTTTCCATATGACAGGATAGCAAACTTCTACATTTTCCTTCATTTTGAGAAAGGCACAATGAAATTGCTGTGGATGCAGTCCGTACTGGACACGTAGTGGGTCAGATAGGTGATTGGAAATGTTTCTTGAATCAAAGTGTTTCCTTGCATATTGGCTTTTCTCATACGGATGCTTTGGGATATATCAGACTGCACATGATACTGTATGCAATAAGCTATGGAGATCAAGTGAGCTGGCAGGCAGTGGATTGGTCAGCTAAGCTCTAATCTTTTCCTTTCCCCTGAAGAACCATTCCTTTTACTGATCTGGCATACTGCACATGCTGCTAGCCCTTACTGATGTAGGCATACAGGCTGTGCCACCAAATATTTATTCCATGTTGTTGGGTGAGATAGTCCTTCAGATCTTGCTTTTTATAACATTGATACAAGGTTCTAGAACACCAAGTTGCACTTTTTTGTTTGTTTGTTTGTTGCTTTAACTCTTAACTTCAGGCTTGGGTGTGTTTGTTATTGTTTTTTTGTTTTTTTGGTTTTTTTTTTGACAGATTGCCTGTTGCAGCCTTGCAGGAGAACTTCCAGTCCTTATTAGGACTTCTGAAGGAGTCTGTACAGTTGAATTTGGCTCCTCCCGGACACTTTCTGCTTCTCAGGTACTGCATAAGAGAGAAGGTTTATAGATGCACTGAGTAGACCTATCCAATTGCTAACTTGGAGTGAATTGATTTTCCCACAGTACCCTGAATGACTTTGTGACCAGGACACCTACTCTAGAAAACAAAAAAGACCAGAAGGACTTGCAGGTACAGTCTATATATATATAACTTTTCTTCTAGTTTGTTTATTTGGCATGTACATCTGAGTAAAAGTGGAGATGGCCTAATCTGTACTTTGGAATGGATGAGTGCACGTTTACACATGGTGACTTAGATGTACTTAAATACAGGAGACTGAAATATGAGACGTTGCACAGAATGTCTCTAACCAAATTTTCTCAAAAAAAGTATGAAATCACAGTAGCAACTATGGACTATTCAAAGCTAGTTTCCTTGGGTAATTGTATGATTTTTCTCAGAGTTGAAATCGTAACAGAAATTTGACTGTCATGAGTTCGTATCACGTGTGTAAAATATCAAAATCTCAAAACTGTCTAGAAAATTAGTGGCATAATCGTCCTTGAAGGACATAGCTAAATTTTGCAATGTCAATAACCTTTTATGTAAAGAAGGAATGAAGCAGAGCAGTATTCTCTTTCTCTACTAATTGTGATTTCACTAGAACAATGTAAGCACTACCCACATAAGTGTAGTTTTGGCTCTGAGCCAACCTAACACTTCTCATGAGGTGAGACTATTATGGTTATGGGAATTCTGTGTCCCAACACTTCTGTGTATATCTGCTTCAGAGACTGACCAGCAAAATGACATCTTGCAGTCTCTGCACAAATGATCTCTGTTTTAATTTGGATACTTAAGATTTACTTAAAGTGTGACCAGCTTTTCATTTTTGCTTGGAATGAAATGTGCTAAAATATACATATAGTTTGATACTTATTTTACCCCTAGTAGAAAGACTGATATGGACAGATGAATTTCCATAGAATAGATCTCAGGCTCACTAAATGCTTTCCAAATTTGAAACGAAGACACTACTAGGTCTCAACACAGGCACTGGTATGTCATTCCTGAGGGACTGAACAATTCAGATCGTGTCTTTTGACAGTTGACATTGGATATATAAAGTATGTCAGGACTGATGCTGAGCAGATAGATACTGTATTAGTGATTTCTGTGGAAATTAATTACTATAACCTCCATGGTAATCTAACTGCAGGTTTTCTTCTTGCTTCCCATCTTCTTGTCTTATTTGAAGTGAGCAGTAATGTATATTGAGAGCACAGATAGATAAATATATCATAGAAGTATATATGTTTCTAAGAGTTAAAAGTGCCTACTATTGATTTTAGTTTCATGTTAAAAGAACTTCATAGGATTTCACAAGTGACAGTAAGTTTTATCTAATGCCAGATTGACATCTTATTTTATAGGAAGTGACCCAAAAAATCTTGGAGGCTGTAGGGAATGTTGCTGGTTCTTCTTTGGAACAGACTAGTTGGCTGAGCCGGAACTTAGAAGTGAAAGCTCAGCCTCAGATTTTGCCAGATGAGTTCAACACTGAAGATGTGAATGGTAATGTGGTTTTGTCTGACTTTCCGCTGTTCTCTCTCTTCTGCTTAAATCAATAAAGAATGCAATGTATTAGTGTGTAGTCTGCTTGAGAAGGAAGTAATACAGATGAAAAGTAAAAGTAAAAATATGCATTGTCTTCCAATAGCAACGCCAGCCTAAGTGGATTTAGTAAATACTATACATTGTGTGTAATACAGAGGAAAATTTATTTTAGGTGCATTCAATACATGGGACAGAATAACACAAAGCATGAAGTATGCTACTGGTGAGATGCCCAGAAGCATTTCTTTGTAATACCAACATGTGAATAACAATTCTGTTTGGGAAGAAAATGGGTCAACAGCAAAATTTAAACATGTCTTGTCTGAAGTGAAAACTATATGATTTTGCCTCCTGTAGATACTTCAGTGGCACCATCATCAATGGTTTCTGCTTCTGCCCCTTCAATATACAGTGTCCAAGCTCTTTCACTCCTTGCAGAAGTAAGTAGGATCCTGCATTGCAATTGCTGTTCTCATCTATAGTTATTTATTGATATTATTGAGCAGAGGAATACATCAGGTTTTTCTGGTAGAGTGTGTGGGGGTTTAGATCTTAGTGAGGCATCCCACACACATTCACGTCCTATCTTGAAACAGTGTGCTTTTCCCCTTTGTCAGATCAACTGCTGTAGGTTTAATGAGATATTAATTTTATTTTTAAGGTTCTTGCTTCTCTTTTGGACATGGTTTACCGAAGTGATGAGAAAGAAAAAGCTGTGCCATTGATTTCCCGTTTGCTATATTATGTATTTCCTTATCTGCGCAACCACAGGTGACTTCTCTCTCTGTATATCTGATTTTTTCTGAAGTTTAATTTTGACCATGTTACAGACTTCTGCTTTTTTTTCCTTCTCAGGGGGTACTTAATAGTTGATAAAGTATCATAAAGTTGATCTTTTGCTCTAGAAAATTCTCAGTCTCACTAACAAGTGAACGTTTCTGTTACAAGACCTGTAAAACTCCTGTACTCAGAGACTGCTGTTCTTACCATTGCTCTAATGAATTAAAATTCAGGGTAATACTTGATGGCTGTCTTTACATCAGCAATTTGGCTAGAGCAGTAGTTTAGTTTTGAAGTGAATCCCATGATTTCTCTCCATTTATGAAAAGCAGAGAGTTCTCAAAGCAGTTTTGGTGCTTGAACTAAATTCCTTTTGGAGGAAACTGACAGAAAGTCCTCTGTGAAGTGACTCAATAGGGCTTACTAATTCCTGACAGCACTGCCATGAGGAGATCTAGCGTATATGTACCACACTTGCCAGTGGAAGGCTGTCAAACCTGGGACATCCTGAAGCAGTTCTTGCCAATCAGATAATCCTGCTCTTCTATTTGCCATCCACTATGATCCCTCAGCTCTTCACTGCAACTACTTGTTTTGCTGCTGTTGTTTCCTCATCCTTTTGTTCTTCTTACCTGTAACCCTTTCCTACTTTGTCTGCCCAGTTGCTTTTCTCTGTTGGTGAAAACATGCTTTTATTGTCATTTATTATCATTGCTTCTTAATTTCTACCAATCTGACACCTACCTTTTCTGCCCCTTGAGGAGGAAGAGCAACAAAAACAGTGCCTCTGGTGAAGTGTCTAAACATCTGTTGGTAGTCTGAATGAGGACCAGGACAGCATCTGGAGATAAGGAATAGCCTAGCAGACATATGCACTCTCTGTAGACAGCTAGAGGAAATCTTCAAGTCACAGCTCACTGCCAAGCTCGCGGCCCATTTCAACTCAAGTCTGAGGGTCATCATGCAAGTAGCATCCAGAGGCACTAATGTCACACATGCTGTCATGTCATTGCTGCAACAGAGCTCTGAACCCTTGGCATGTCCTAACCTTATCCAGCAGAATTCTGTGTCAGGAGGCTTTCTGAGCACTGGCTGTGGGTAGAGAACAGCCATAGTGCTGTATGCATCCCCTGAAAGATGCAGGCCTAGGTCATTTTTCATCCTGGATGGGCTGGGGTATGGCCTGGAGCACACTTAGAGCACATGCTGACAGAAGTCCTTCTCTGTGCTCGAAAGCCTTATCCTTGCCTCCTTGAGAAAAGCTGGAGGTTCAGGGGTGGGAGGCCACAGATAATAGACCACTGTGTTTCTTTCACAGGCTCTCAGGCTGATTAGGTTTCCTTTTTTCTTGTCTGCAGTGTCTTCTGAAGAGGGAGATGCAACAGATCTAGTTCCTGTGCTGCTGTGGTGCAGTATGTACTCCAGAGAATTATTTTGGAGCACTCAGAGGCTAGGACTGCACTGCAAAGGGAGGAAAATACCAGAGGCAGTAGTGGAAAGGGATCTGCATGATGCTTGCTTGCATGGTACCAGACTGGCAAAGGCTTGTGAGCAGGAGGCTCTTAAGAGCGGAGAATGATGACAGCCTTTGCAGGAATGCCAGTGAACTATGTTCCCTGACTGTGGCTGCTCCACATCTGACTGGAAGTAGCAGCTTTGCTTGCTGCCAAGTGCTGATCCCCAGCACTCTTTCATGGCTGATGCTTGGTCAAACAACAGAGCCCATTTATGCGTGCAAGGTTATAGGAGGGTGAGGTAGGGCAAGAGACAAGGAGATTTTAAGGACCTTTCCTGTTCTCTGTGTTCTCACAGGATGTTGTGCTATTTAGGCAGTGTTGGCCAATATTTGTAAATGTATAGACACTGTGTAGACTTTGCCCACAGGGAAAGATGCCTAGTACTGTTTGTTCTCTCACCTGTTTCCATTCTAGGGAAGTTACATTCCAGTGTAACTTTTTTTGTCCCCATAGGAGCAAAAGGAGGGAAAGGAGAACATTGTCTTCGTGGGGAGATTTAATTTCCATGTTCTAGGGTCTTATAAGTCGGTCCTGTTTCATCTGTCTTCTTCATGCTTCCCTTTTCCCTAAACTCCGAGTGCTATTCACAAATCTCTTAAAATTCAAATGAACTTCCTTCTTCTAGCAGCTCTCTGCCAACTGGCAAAAAGCAGCCTTCTCTTGCGTACTTCTTCTCCAACAAACACTGGACAGCTGCTGCTGCTGTAGCTATTGTCAGGCTTCCCCTCCTCCTATCCGCTACTTTTTGGCTTCTACATTTTCCGAAGTAGGCCAGTATACACTGAAGTGTGGGATAGATCACAGCCACAGTTCAAGGAGGGGAGAGGAGACTGTCTCAAGTGTTATTTAGGTTGCAGTCAAAACCACTAGGAAGTATGCAGTAAAGAGCAAAAAAAAAGAGTATGAAGGATCAGCAAAGATGCAAGCAGAATAACCAAACATGCGTAAAAGGGGTGATGGGTTGAGTGTTACTAGGAAGTGAGGAAGTGAAGCCAGCAAGCCTGAGAATGCAGCAGGTATGAAGATTTTTCCATGCTCCAGGGAAATGAATCAGAGTGAAGCATAGAAATTTTAGGAAGCTCTTCTCTATTAATTTATTTGTTATTTTCCAATGTATTTAACCTATCAGCAAGTCATTCAGATTCTTGATGTATGAAATGCATGCCATTCTTGTTGACCCCAGGCATATACTGTTGCACAAGTGGATCATGTACCTTTGCTATTTGCAACACCTAAAGAAAATCCTGTATATAGCCACCACGGAAACTGTTCCTGGGAATGGCAGCATTGTGCTGTCATGCTGAGCTTGCTATAAGGCAAACTGCTTATCTCTGCTCCACTGCTATTAGGATGTCCTTGTAAACTAGCGCAGGGGGTAATAACAACTTCTGCAAGGGCAAGGGAGGTGATTGTCTCTCTCTACTCTTCCCTCAAATTCCCTGGAATGCTGTGTACAAGTCTGGGGCGCCCCCAACATAAGAAAGATATGGAGCTTTTGGAGAGGGTCCAGAGGAGGGCCATGAAGATGATCCAAGGGCTGGAACATCTCTCCTGTGAAGATAAGCTGAAGTAACTGGACTTGTTCAGCCTGGAAAAGAGAAGGTTGTGGGGAAACTTCATTGTGGCCTTCCAGTATATAAAGGGATTTTATAAACATGAGGGAAATAAACTTCTTATGATGGTAGATAGTGATAGGATAGTGATGGTTTTAAATTAAAGGAGGGGAAATTCAGTTTAGATGTTGGGGAAATTTTTACTGAGAGAGTGGTGAGGTGCTGGAACAGTTGCCCAGAGAGGTTGTGGATGCCATGTCCCTGGAGATGTTTAAGACCAGTTTCGATGGGCCCTGCACAATCTGACCTAGCATTTGATCTAGCAGTTGGCAGCCTTGTCTGCAGTTGGGTGTTGGAACTTGACGATCCTTGAGGTCCCTTCCAATCCAAGCCATTCTATGATCTGAATGTGAAGATTAAGCTTGATTTTTTTGTTTGTTTTTCATTTTTCTTCGCAAAGAAGATAGTACCATTCCATTTGATCTGAAACTGATGGTTCAAAAGACATCGGAATTCTGATGAGTTGCTGAGATGCCTACAGATATTACTTGATGGTTTTCCACTGTCAGCCTGGCAAGGCCATTCAGTCCCTGTGATCTGTGTAGCCATAACTATAGTGAGATGTTCACTGGATAAGAATATGGAGCCCTTGTCAGGCCTGTAGAAGGGCTAGATGATTTTCCCATCACTCTTATGTGTTGCTCAGCAGCTGGACTAAGACTTTCTTTAATGCCTCTGTTCTTCCTCAGCTGGCAGGAGCTGAGTTGCAGGGTTCCAAAAAAAAAAAAAAGCTATAGCTTCTTTCTTGAAGACAAGGGGGCTGCCAAAATCTTTTTAGAAGGTGTGGTGCCAGCTCACGAGAGAACATTTGACAGCATCTCTTTCCATCCAAAAATGTATTCCTGTTAGTCTGAGTGCCACCACTCAAACCTCTGAAACCTGTGCTGAATAATGGTCAGAACAGCTGCCGTACCCAGGATTTCCAGGAAGCTATTTGACAAGCATCAGTTCATCAAGGGTCCCTTTTTCTTGCTCCTACCACTTTAGGCTTGAGCCCAGCACTCCTTCCCTACTGTACCTTGCAGAGCCTGTTGACCAGTTTGTGAACTTTCTTTTGGGGAAGATTTGAACCACACCTGTATTAGAGGTGGGCAGTACCATGATATGTCTAATCAGAAAATACCTCCCCAAGCAAGGTACTCTGGAAATGTGAGGAACTTCTGCAGAAACTGCTTTGATCAACTAATCTGTGCCTGCTCTGAATTAATGAGCTGATGTAAACACAGCCTTTACTGTTACTGAGATAATTTGCTTAGAAGTTCTGCAGAAAACAGTTAATTTTCCAGATACACAAATGTAACTTTTAAAAAGATTGATATTTATCATTATTTTTCCTCTTATCCCAGTACCTACAACATTCCTAGTTTCCGTGCTGGTTCTCAGTTGCTCAGCTCATTGAGTGGATATGCCTATACCAAGCGAGCATGGAAAAAAGAAGTTCTTGAGTTGTATATGGATCCAGCTTTTTTCCAGATGGACACTTCATGCACTCAGTAAGACATGACATAGTAGCCCTCCAAGATTTTATCTGATGATTTGCAAAGAAAGACTTAAAGGATGGGCTAATACTGAATGTTCTCTATAGTACTTGCTCACAGAATGTAGTAACATTAAAAATGGATCCCAACGAACTCAACTAAATGCATCATAGATACTTAAGTTATCTTTATGGCGCAGAAGAATAAACTTCTCTCTTGCTAACAACTGCCATTAGTGTTTGTAAATGGCATTTAATGGAGTTGAAGGACCTAAATTTCAGTATGTGTAAATTGGATAAGGTTCTGCATAGTGAATACATGTTGGAAACTGTTGACTAGTATGAAATGTTTGTCCAAAATCTTTCTATGTGAGTCTACACCAAGGCTTTCTCTGGTTATCTGTCATGTCCTTTATATTGTTGATCTTTTACTTATCCAATTCCTTCTATGTCTTATCCAGTTGGAGATCCATTATTGATCACCTTTTAACACATGAGAAAACTATGTTTAAAGACTTGATGAGTAAGTATTAGCTACTGATAACTTATTTCTGCATTAATTTTAAATTTAAATTTGCTTCTGAGCTGTTTGGTGTCTAATGTGTCAATAAAATGCAGGCAATGCTGCATCTGCAGAATTGATTATGTGACCAACTTTATTCTCCACTAAAAACTGTTCTAAGTTCAGACTGTATTTTGGTAACGTTAACTTAAAAATATTTACTCCAGAAATGCTAGCATTGGCCTGCTGCAAGCATATTTGGCCATTATTTTAAGTTGCTGAAAGGTGACCATAGCACTGTTGCCTGTGAGAAAACAAGGAGATTCCAGTTAACTTTGCATGCATCTGTATACTCACACAGAGCTGCAGGAATATGGTGCACCAGTACAGCAAGCCTTTGAGCAGCGTGCTTTGATCTCTAATTCAGGCTTGAAGACAATACAGAAGAAAAGTCATTGGAGAAGATGGGATAGGACCCTAGCATTTGCCTGGAGCTTTGAAAGATAAAGCAGCTTTTGTCTCTTGTTAAAATCTTTTAAAAGAACAGTTGAAGGCTTACAATGCAAACTTTAATGCATTTTTTTAACATTGTATGTTTTTAAACTTACCATTTTAATTTTTTCTCGGTAAGAATTAAACGTCTTGAAATCCCTCAGCCATGGTTTTAAGAGTCTGAAATGAGAAGGAGATCTGTGCATTTTAGAGACAGGGCTTTAAAATACTGGACAGCTGCAGTGTATGCTTTGTATAATTCTCTTCCTAGTTTGAGTAGATCAGGATCAACACCAACATATTATTCCAATCTGTAGTCATAAAGAGAGTAGTTATTTCTCAAAGATCTCAGGATACAGAAATTATTTTCATCTCAAGTCACTAGTCATTATATGGCAGACAAGAAGCAATTCTTCTATGTGTTACAGATATGCAGAGCAGCGCCTTAAAACTCTATCCAAGTTTTGAACAAAAAGCAATGTTGTTAAAGCGGCAAGCTTTCGCTGTCTTCAGTGGAGAAATTGATCAATATCATCTCTATCTTCCCTTAATACAAGGTAAGATTTGTGGTCTTTTTCATTCGGCTCTAATACGTATGTAAACATTAAAATTTAAAAAAAAAAAAAAAAAAATGGAAGTACAACATTCCTTTCTCACATAATTTATTTCAGAACGGCTGACTGAGAACCTCCGTGTTGGGCAGACTTCTTTAGTTGCCGCACAGATGTTCCTCCTCTTCAGAGTTCTATTGCTAAGGATTTCTCCTCAGCATCTAACCTCCCTGTGGCCAATTATGGTAACTGAATTGGTAAGGAATGATTGTAACTTAGAATTAGTTTCTTGCATTCTTTGCATTTCACCTCCCTCACAGATCCCTGGATGGAAGGAAATGTTTTCCTAGGTCTGCGCTAGTTTGATAATTTGGAAAAAGAAGTAACATTGGCATTAGGAAATACCTTTCTGATCAATGTTACTGTTGTTGATAATGTGCTTTCTTTTACAATTTGTTAACTTGTTTCAAGTCATAAGAGTAAACTAAGAGTCTGTGGGTTCTTATACTACTTACACTACTATGTGAAGTGTATCTTTTTATGATTGAGTTGTTGTATGAATGATTCAGCATTTCCATAAATTTATTTATTTCAAGATTCAGACGTTTCTACAACTGGAAGAAGAATTAACTGAGGAAGATGAACCATCAAAGTAAGAATTAGCATTTACCTGATGAAAGCTTGTAAAAGCTGTGAAAGCTGTTAGCAATTGTGCTTGTTCTATATCTGCCTTTTTTTTCCACTTGTGTACTTCTGAAATTGGTAAATCAGTACTTTTTAAGCAGGTGAAATACTAACAAAAAGCTGGTACTTAACAGTTGCATACAAGAATAGAAAAGTCAGTGTTTGAATATTGAATATTTTAAGTGACTTTTTTCTAAATACTTTAGATATATCTTTCCACGTACAGCCTTTTATATGAATCTCAGTGTTAATACAGAATAAAAATAAGACTTTTGTGCACAGGTGCAAGTGCACATTTGTGTAAATGTGTACATTTCCCTTTTGCTGAATGGAAAACACTTAGTGGATTTATGTTTAATTGTGTACTTCTCAATTTTTACGACCGCAGAAGCAACAGCAAGTTAAGCAAACAGAAAGTCTCAGGTGATGGCAGTGGAACTGACATCCAGCAGAATGAGCTGTCTTTGTACTTATCTGCTTGCAAGTTTTTAGACACAGCGCTTTCATTTCCACCTGATAGGATGCAGTTGTTCCAAATGTAAGTCCTTTAGTTGCTTACTGTTCTCCAGGTTGTTTCTGTACTTGTCCTTCAATGTAATTCCAGATATATCCTAGAGTTAATTGCACTGTTTGTTCTTTTCACAAGTGCAGACTTTGATTCTAGAACAAAAATAATTTGGGATATTTAGAAAGGCAGTTCGGTCTTGTCAGTGTAGGAAGATTTCACTTTATTTGAAGGTTATCTTACATGGAAAAATAGGGAGAAGAAAAAGAAGGACTGTTCTTTGTTTTCCCTTTGCCACACTTGGGAATTTTTTGGAGGCAGTTGCATTTAAGCAGTGATATAGTACTGAAGTAGTAACTTCCTTGTTCGCTAAGTTTAGCTCTGGTAATAGCAAAACTTTATAGTTATGACAGCTCTTTCTGTGAACAAAACAGTGCTTTGCTAACTCTGTCTGATCCAAACAGGGAATTTTTTTCCTGTCTTCTCAGCAATGTAATCCTTTTGTTTCAGGTATAAATGGGCATTTGTCCCAGAGGTGGACACAGAGTCATCTACTGTGACTTCTCATCTGGTAGAAAATCATCAGGAATGTAGACCACACATAATACGAATCATGGATCTGCTAAAGATGAAATATGGGGTAAATAAAGAGTGCTTGACTTATTTTTCTTTTTTAAGCCTTTAACTTACTTTTCTAAACTAGTGGTAGGATTGTAAATTAGGCGAGAGGTTTTTAGATGTTAAGATTCCAAAGGGTTTTAAAAATTATCTGCCTTCTTTCACAAATGTATCTTGAACACGTCAGTTTTCTTTTGCATGTGGAGTGGCAGGAACTTTACCACAAGAGCATTTTAAATTGTCATTAAGGTTTAGTATTAGTACTTACAGAAGAATGCATTAGTATTTATCGGGTACCTCTGCATTCTGCAGCTTTCTGATGCCTGCTTCTGAAGACTTGTCCAAATTTCCAGTGTTCTGAAATTGTGGGACTTTCATTTAACAGAAGCTCAAATCTGATTATAGAAATAACTCAGTATACTATCTGTACAATTCATACTGTGATGGAATTGTAGGCTGTGGACCTCTCAGTATAAAACCAAGTGTATAATACAGGCTTCAAAGGAGCCATATTTAATAGTGTCTTAATGCAGTAAGTAAATCTTGGTTTGCATGTTTACAGGAAAGAAACAACACTGATGAGGGAATTTCCAAAAGGCACAAATTTCCTCTTTTGAACTTCCGCACTATATCTAGCATTACCCAGCTTATGCCCTTCTTCAAGACACTGTGTTGTGCATTTACGACAAAAGGGAGTGAGGCCCAGAATTCACATACTTCTGCATCTCTCTCTGTGGACTACGTTGGTGGCAATGGCATAAAGATCTTGCAACAGCTTGAAGAGAGTGTTGAATGTGACTTCCTTGAAAACATGGAAAGTTAGGCTGCATATCAGACACTTACGTGGTTATGTGGTCAAAAAAAGAGAAAACATTACTGCAATTCTTATTTTTTCCCATTTTGAAACTACATTTTAGGTTTTCTTCCAGCTCTTATGGGATGTACTTCAATAATTCAAGCTTCCCAGGGGTGATAAAAAGCAGGATTCTTTGTGTTCTGGGGAGGCAGAAAGGAGAATGTACAGCTTAGTGGTAATTTACCATTGTTACTGTATTCTTTTACTTTTTTTCCTTGTGAAGGATTAAAGAGATTTGTAAATAATGGTAGAAGATTTTTAACTTGGTGAAAGTAGCAACTGTACCATTTATCCAGTAATTTCTCAAGTAAGTATTTTACACTACTTTTGGAACTGTGATCTGAAAGTAAATTTGAGAAAAAGCTAATATTGCATGTCAGTGTACAATCGGTTTGGCGAAAAGCCATGTCTTGAAGTTAAAACCCCCTTCTATTTCTTCTTCCTTTAACTGATCCTAAAACTTAGCAACTTGTGAACAGATAATTTAAATTTCAAACAGATCTATTTTATAAGCCTTATTACGCAAAGAACTGCAGACTTACCATGTTTGTAATTTCAGCTTTGTATTATAAGAGCATTCTTCAGGATTAGTGATTCCTAAATAAAAAAACATGTACATGCACAAATGACCAACCTATGCAGTAACATTTTATAATTTGCACTACTTTGAGGGCTTTTGATTTTAATTAGCTGACTAATTAAAGAATATTCTAATTCAGTTCTTAAATGAAAGAACTTCGTTCTTTCAATGGCTAAGATCACCTTGCGACTTATGAAATACAGTTAAATGAAGATAATCCTGTAAAAATATAAATTACTGTAAACCCAGAGCCTAATTCAAAGGAAAATTCATTTTTTAAGAAACACTTTTTATACAAATAAATATATTTGGCTGTTCCTACGTATTATAGGAGGGAGGGATGTCATTCACAGTGCCATGACTATGATAATGTTCAAGGTGCAGCTTCTTTTGGATCTGCACCACTTCCACCATTCGGGCCTGGAAGAGACAGTGATTAGTTGTACTACCATACAGTGAAGCTGCTTGTCTGAAGGACACTTCTGACAGTTAGTGGATAAATACCACCATAGCCACATGTACATCAAAAAGCTTAGATGAACGCTTTTTCCATGAGGAGGTGGACTCCATTGAGGTTTTGGTATTTATTGGGTTTTCTGACTGGATTTGCAATGCTGATTTGTTTGGAAGGGAAGTTTATCATAGTTTTCATGATGAAAAGCTTTGTCTGCTTCTTTATTTAAACAACGTTGCCTCTACAGAAATGGATTTATAAGATAAAGCTCCAGACTGGTACTTGTGCTATTTGAAACATCTCAACCGAGGTAAATGTGCTTGATATTGGACTTCTTCATTATTGGTGGTTTTTCCTAATTAAAAAAAAAAAAAAAAAAAAGATAATAAAGGACATGCCAAATGTATTGTTTAATGCTGTTAGGTTGTGAGATCAGGGATTTTTATTTATTTTTTTTCAAAACTCACGCAAGAAATATGGAAGGTTACTTGGCAGTGTTTTTTACCTACAGATGTATGAATCCATCTTTGGATTATAAATGCTAAGCAACATGCTTTACAACTATAATACTGTAATGCTATATGAAGGTAATATGATAGACTTGTGCTAAATTTAAAGTTTCTGTGAATCTGTTAAGGAAAGCAATAGAATGAGGTGTGATATTGTGTAGTACTAGGGATGTCAATTATTTGTATTAATATAATTTATTAACAATCTCATGCTGTTGGAATAAGCACAAATGAAAAATATTCCTTTTTAAGCATCGCTTGAAAATTGGAACAGGATATTTTTAAATAATTTTGTTAATTGCTTGCATAAACTCAAGGATTTTCTTTTTAATAATATTGCTAATACTCAGGATGACTTGGTAGTTTGACTTTGGGCTTTCTGGTGGGTGGTTGCATTCCATGCTTAGGGAATTCTTTTAAAATCATGAGATGCTATTGAATTGCTGTTAACAATCTAGGACAACTTTCTGCTACTAAACCTTTTGCTTTACTTTCTCCTCTAAGCTCTAAACCTGTGTCTTCACTTAGTTTACTCACTAACAAAAGGTGATAAAGCACTAACTTAGATGGAGGGTTTTATCATCCTTCCCTTTGGAAGGGAATGAATGTCCCATTCTATCTGTCAGGGCTTCAGATGTGTGTGAGATCAAACATCACCATCCCACCACCCAGGATGTGGCGGTAAATATTAAAAATTGAATCTGTGACTGAGCTGCTTGGAACCCTAATATGATCTTACCTTTTGCAAAAACAGCACTTGCTTCTCTCTTGCCTTCTGTGTATACTCTTGCCTTTGCTCTGTGATTCTGCAGATTGCTGCTGTAAGTGGCCTGCACATCTTTTAACATTAAAAAAAGGGTTCTGAACAAAAAAGAGTGGGCTCAATTGAATTAGTCTTACTTGGATGGCAGAAACTTGCCACTGAATATGCTTAAAAGTATCGCTAACAGCGTAACCTTATTCCTTTTCTACATGGGACTAACTTTAGCCATTTTAATTCTTACAGTACTGCATTTAAATCCATGTGAAGGAAGAGGGTTGTACTATCAAAGCAGTATAACCTCACTGTAGATACATCTGATGAACTTTCGCTTCAAACTCAGTAGCAACAGCTGGAGAGAAAATGCCTTTGCTGTGTGACGTAGTTTTTGCTTGTTTTCAAGCTTAGTTTTCTCTTTTTCATACTTCAGCTTTGAGACAGCATAGCAACAGTGCATGATACATAGAAGGAAAAGTATTTAAATATTCACAGAGGTTTCCTTTTCCTGAAGGGAAGAAAAATATAGTTGGTGCAACCAAGATAACTGCCAAAGAACAGCAGAACTTTAAATACGGAACATTAAATAATGGCTAATTGTATTCAATGCTACATTTGAATGTAATTCTAATAATAACATTAAATGTTATTTTTGAAATACCTTTCAGCTGCAATTCTCATTTTTAGACTACTGCTGATGGATTGTCTTTTTCTCTGATTCTGTAAAAGCTCTCAAATTCAGTCTCAATGCATGAAGGCTTCTGTGCAGAACTCCAGACCTCATCTGGATCCCCGCAGCCGTGACTGTGTGCCCGCCCCTACATCCCCATTGGACAAGGCTGCACCATCTCCCCTGTCTTATCACCCACCCTTCCTGTTGCATGAAGTCCCTTCACCAGAGACTTCTGAAGTTCATACTGATACTTTCGTATATTCTGGGCAAAAGCCCTGAAAGTCCTGCCTTTTCATTTGGGGGGAAGTGAACATTCAATTCTGCTTGAAGTTCTAATGCCAGAGAAGTATGGTTTCAATGACCCTGATGAGTAAGTTATTTTCATATTTCACCCTTTCCTCTGAGTCTTTGTGCATCACTTGTAAGATTATGCAGTGTATCTCACACCTCACGAGCAAGTAATATTTGGTTATATTTTGAAAATGCTTGCAATATGTTGCATGTATTCTGGGAAATATTGTAGCATAGTACAAATAGTACTAATTTACTAATACTAAAGTACTCAATGCCTGTTGAGTACCTGCTTAGTCAAATAAAGATCTTCAGGTTTGGCGGTAACAGAACACCTCTATGATTTGCAATTACTGTCCCAAAGCAACTCCCCAATTTTCTTATTCAGTGCTGGTTGTCTCCTGGCACTCAGCAGCAGAGCTTCAGGAGGAGCTCATGGCAGAGGTGAGTGCCCAGCAGACTAGGCCTTCTGATTTCATCACTGCATACAGAGCAAAGGGATGGTGGGAGTAGGCAGATGGAAAGAAAGGGTTGATCAAAACCGATGGTACTTCCAGGTAGAGGCTGATGTATGTTTTCCATAACTTCTTGAGCAGAGACTTGTAAGGTTTTGATCACCATGAATTACCGTACTTCAGGCTTTTAGTTCGAACTTTTTCTTTTATAATACCTGTATCTTTGGTTGTTGGGTTGCTTTTTTTCTGTTGACCTCCACCAAAATAACTCCTTTTTAGTAGGAGAAAATTGAGATGAAAAATTGGAAGAACAAAGAAAGGAGAGGAACACACAGTGTAGTTATAATAGACAACAGGGAGCTTGCCAGCTATAAATACATGTATAAAAATCAAACCCCACAACTGTCTCAGGTCTTTCACAAAGAAAATAGTCTGGACTCAAGGTAAGTAACTGTGCACTGCTCAAAATACCAAAATTCAGATAGCTGAAACACAGTAACTTTAATGAAACAGCTGACAAATTTTGTTCTGTGAGTAAACAGGATGTGAAATATGACTTTTATGAAATATGCACCTTGCTGTAGATGTTACTGTATGCAACTTGGTAGAACACAGTAATAAGTCTTCAGTGAGGGAGACTCTAGTTACGCAGTCTCTTTTCTTAGTGGTGTGATTTATATGGGGAAAACTGCTAACTCGTTAATAATGGCACTGGAATTTGACCTCAGTGCTGTCTTTGAAAAACACATAAGAAATCCACTGGAAAAGGGAATTGTGCAATCTTTATTGTGCAAGTCTATCTGAAATAGCAGCTGCAGTTAGCAAAAAGAGTCAAAGCCCTTTGATTAAACTTTAAGTTCTTACCTTGCATTCTGGAGTTTGCACCTGAGCAAACAATTGCAAATCTTTGATGTGATTCTTTTTTTTTTTTTTTTTTATTCCTACAAACGATGTTACCAAATACTCAGAATTACAACTTTAAATTACAACTTTCTTGGATAACAACAGAAGAAATACACTGCTTCAGCTGTAAGAGAAAACAGAAAAGCAATGTCAGTGCTTGCTGTTAGGAACTCTGCCCATGTAGCGCAGTCGTGCATTTCTGGAGCTTTTGGTTATAGAGCTCTGAACTGTCAGATAAGCAGGAGTAAATAGCAAGAGAACAATAACATCTGGATTACTTCATGTAAGGAGGATCTGCACAGGCAGGTAAGAAAGCTTGAGATGACAGTACATCTTCTTATAAACAATTCACTCCTCTATTAATCAAAGGCTCCCCAAGTCATGCTGTCATGCATTTCTTAGTTGGGAAGATTGATAAAGGTAATGCTTTGTGAGCCCTTTACTTCTGCAGTGTGTGGATTTCCTTCTTCATTCATGGACAAACCGACACTGAAAATGAAATGAAACTGAAAATGAAAGGGCCAGAAACAGATCTCTTTGCTTCCATTTCATAGAATGACAGAATGGTTTGGGTTGGAAGGGAGCTCAAAGCCCATTCACCCCAACCCCTGCCTTGGGCAGGGCTGCCCCCCACCAGCTCGGGCTGCCCTGGGCCCCATCCAACCTGGCCTTGAGTTCAGCCAGGGATGGGGCACCACAGCTTCTCTAGGCAGCTGGGCTAGCGCCTCACTGCTTTCTACAGTAAAATTTTTCCCTCTGCTATCTAAATCTCCTCTCTTGTAGTTTTAAACCGTTCTCCCTTGACCTCTCAACTATCAGACCATGAAAAAGTTTGTTTCCCTCCTGCTTATAAGCTTCTTTTAAGTACTTAAACAAAGGCTGTAATGAGGTCTCCTTTGAGCCTTCTCCAAACTGAACGAGCCCAGTTCCCTCATCCTGTCTTCCCAGGAGAGGTGCTCCAGCCCTCTGAGCATCTTCCTGCCCTCCTCTGGACCTGCTCGCACAGTTCCACGTTTTTCTTGTGCTGGGGCCCCAGGCCTGGACGTAGTACTCCAGATGGGGCCACATGAGGGCAGAGCAGAGTTCCTGCTGCCCACTCCTCCTGCGATGCCTACAAGATACTGTCGTGTCTCTGGGCTGCGTGCGCACGCTGCTGGCTCGTGTCTAGCTTTTCATCCATCAGGACACCCGAGTCTTTCTCCCCATGGCTGCTCTCAGTGAGTTCTCCTCCCAGCCTGTGCTCATAACTGGGATTGCCCCGAGTGCAACACCTTGCGCTTGGCCTGGTTGAGCCTCATTCTATTCCCATGGGGCCACTTTTCAAGCCTGCCCTCTGGACGGCGTCTGTTCCACTGCACGAACTGCACCACTCAGCTCGCCGATAAAGATGCTGAGGGGCACTGCCCCAAGACGGACCCCTACGGGACACGACCTGTGACCGACCCCATCTGCACGCAGAGCCGTTCACCACAACCCCGTAGCTACGACCATCCATCCAACTAACCCTCCGCCTACCGATCCGCGGGGCCGCCCGGGACAAGCGCTCGCTCGAGCCCCGCCCCCAGGCGTGGCCGTAGAGCCCGCGCATTTTTACCTAAAAAAGAGAGGGAAGGCAAAACACAACAAACCCGCCCCCCCGCGGCACGCCACCTCGTCCCACCCGCTCTGCCCGCCGTTGGACGTGCGCGCGGAGGGGGGCGTGGCCTAGCCGCTAAGCCCCGCCCCCTCCCGGAAGAGGTTGAGGCTGGCGGCGGAAGCGGGCCGTGAGGGGGGCGAGGCGGATGTGCGCGCTC